CTTATCAGTATGGTTCTTAATAAAAGCGCAATGTGCAGTGTGCAGTATGAAGCGTTCGGACAAATTAAGCCCAGCTGGCAAGTACGGAGTTGATTAGCGCAAGCACATTAAGATTTATGATTAAGCGTTAATAACGTTTCCACTGAGGATTTTTTTTTTCATTTATTTTACAAACATCAAAGAGCTAATTGACATTCTAAAAATAATGAATACCCCTTTGATAGAGATGTAACGTTGCACGGGGGAATTTGTTTTTAATTGCATTTGAGATAGAATCGGATTTATGAATGAGGATGCTGTTACTGTTTGATTTTTGGATCTCTTTAAATTTGATACTTGACTAACTCTGTAGTAGGAATTTGATATTTATTTGGATGGAAATAGATTCTATTTTACATTATTTATGACAGCAACCCGTATTATTTTTCACACTTTTTTGAAAAAAACACAGTCTTTTATTGTTAATTTAATTAATTTATAGGCGTACTCAAATAGTTTTATCTTTATCTAACTTTTCTTTAAAAACCTCTTTTAAAATTCAGTCAGAACTATTTACAGCTAACTATTTTAGAAACACTTTTACAAATTTGGTGATAGTGTAAAAAAAATTGATTTCTCGTATTAGTTATACCTCCTCCGATCAAAAGCGGACGCGGTCGTCACTTATTTAGTTAGAAAATTACGAATAGTTTTAGAAGTCAATGTAGGTACTTTGAATAAAAATATAAAGTAAAAACATTATTGGATAAATATTATTGAAAGTAAAGATACAAATAGCTACTGGGATGAGTTTGACTCTTATTGTTATGCATAGCCTGTCATAACGCATTACTATTTCAATCCACCGATTTAGGACTGACTGAGACGTATAAAATTTTCTTTGTGCTTCCTCTGGGGTTCACTGTGGGGTTTATTGAAGGAAAATCCTCAATTCAAATGGAATTGAAATCGTATTTTACTGTGTGTTTCTTGGATGTATTGCAAATAGAATGTTGTAAGAATAGTTTAGGACTTGCTGTTAAGTAACAAACTTTAAGGCTATTTTATTAAGCAATAAAATTCCGATTTCGATTACTTTCACGAAATAAATAATACCTTTTGTTATTTAATTCCTTGATTACGGCTTAGCTTAATGTATAATAAAAATAAATTAGTATTATTTATCTGCAATACAAGTATTTGAAAATAAAATCAATTTAATTCTTAAACAAATAGTTTGCATTTTCTTAGTGTCATCGTCTTTGGCCTATCAAAGCCCAGAGCAAAGGCCTCTTCTCACAGGGAGAAGGTTTGAGCATTAATCAACACGCTTGCTCAAGACGGGTTGGTGATTACAAACTTATATTTGTGAAATTATAAGTCCTATTATAAGTATATTACTATTATTATTGGTTTTAATTAAATTCATTTTGTTACTTTATTTTTTTACTGTGTAGTTTCCCATTAAGTGTTAAGTAAAAAATTAAAATTATATTAAAAATTCATAATCGTTCTCATATCATAAACATCGAAACTTAATTGAAAATAATAAAAAGAAGTTGAGCGTTGATTAAATTATTTATTGTTTCAATCATTTCTATTCAGCCATAAATATTTTCAATAGTGGTTTGGCGTGTCACGATCGAGATACCAGTTAAGGTATTGCAAGTCACTCAATAAAATCTTAACTTACAAGTATAAAGGTCTGGTTTTATGATATAAAATCATTTTCTGAAAGCTTAAAAATTATCCTATCAATTTGAGGCCTAGCTCACCCTTCTACTCATTATCATAATATGTATCTCCGTGCTAGCCGCTTAAATTACTGAGTCTTACTTGTGATTTTACAATTCAAATTACAATGTCTGTAATTATTCTAGAAAAAGAAACAACTTTACTATGTATTATTTAATTAAACGTTGTGAAGGGAAAATTACATAAATAAATGTCAATAAATGATTGATATACATTATACATGACGCAAGGAAATGATATTACCACGTCTTTATTGATATAATCACTTCGACTACAAATAAAACTCTGTTAAAATTAAGTCAGAAGTGTAATGTAATATATTAAATATTCTTATTTTATCAAAAAACTCTATTATCTTAATGTTCGAAGAATATAAATCGTTCAAATACACTATGAGCTCATAAGCAATATTAACAAAAAATACAATAATCAGGTAAGTATTTTTCGATAGGCTGCCGCATAAATAAATAAGACGATTTACCGCCCAAACAAAAGGTAATTAATATCCTAGGATTTGTAGGGACAGGTAATTATTAACATATTCTCATATGCACATTATTCAGAAAACAATAGACGCGTGTGTCTGACAGTCCATTAGGGTGAACGATCAAATACCTATACGGGCATAATAACGATACGGCTTTAATAATTTGTATCTTAAAAATTAAATACCTATAGGAATAATTAACCCGTACTGAAAAACTATTTAAATTTAATCATAATGACAAATGTATCGAAATTGAATATGCTTTAATAGACTAATACTAAGATATCAGAATGATTTACTTAAATTTATTTTATTCATATGTATCTTAAGCGCTTGAAATTTTAAATAACAGTAAACAAAATAGCACAAAAAAAATTTTTCATTACGATTTAGATTACGTGTAATTAAAGCGGCTGTGTAATGAAAAAGTAGCACGTGAAAAACCATTATATGACCTATTTACTCTTTTCAAAAGTTTGTTAAGCTGTAAGCAAATATAAACGGGCTGTGTTAGGTTAACTAATCTTTCCCACGTCTAAAATACAAAGTAACTATTTATATTATTAATTAAACAGTTACACAACGTTTTTTAACTGCACTTAAATATATTAAAGGCTTAAGTTATGTTGTTAATCTCAATATACAGTTGCAAGATTATCGTTTACTTAAAGTAGACTTCAGTCAAATACTCTGACCGGTTTTATCAATGGACCACTAAAATAGGGCAACTTCTTATTGTCAGATTAGATCGAAATGCTAATGGAGCGTTTTAATTTGCTTATCTTTACTGCTACAAATTTATTTATACATAACATTGAAGAAGTCATTGCTTCCCAAGATGTTATTTCTTATTTTAGTTTAAGGTCATTGCATCTTCAAGTAATACATCGTTTGGATTACTCCGCCTACTATTGATCGATGGATATGATTTAAATGTTTAAATATCTAGAAACTGTTTTACTATATACTTTGATATGATGGGAACAATCTATTGAAATCCGAATAGTGCGAACTACAATTTTGAATAGTAAAATCATAAAGTCAGTACGATAATTCTATCATACTTAGTAAATTTTATGACTGTTCAAACTTTTACTTCATGTAACTAAGTTATTAGGATTTTTTTAATGTAATAGAATTTAATAGAAGTCAAATATTGCAAGCCATATAATTTTTAATTATTTTTCGACACGAACTTTTTAAAAAAGAAATATAAAGCAATTTGTTCCTGTAATTTTGTTGAAAGTCGTAAGTCTGCAGAATGTATCTGTGACACCATTATTCAATTATAATGAAACTACATATGTAGTTGTACAAATATTGTGTATCTTTTATTCTCGACAACGAGTAATGTATCTATTCTCATCAGATTTCAAGCGGAGACCTCTGACACAATAGATCTTTTGTTTAGCAGTCCTTCCAGGCGCTAAGACCATTACGTACATTCCAAAACTTCCCAACTTTCTGAATAGAGTTTCCAGTTAATTTCACCGCAAATTGACTCTGATGAACAATCTTGGAACAAATTCTCCAATGTCGCGTTAAATAAGATTGTCAATACACCCAAAAAAATTAATAAATCTGCTCCACGTTGGAAGTATTCTTTTGTTAAATCAAAAGATTTTTTTTTGTCGCTCTACATTTTATATAAAAATTTATTCCAGTTATATTTGCGGCTATAAATATTTGACAGAGTAAATATTTCAATGTTATACACATAAAGGAAAATATGTATGACTAAAAATTTATTATGTGTCCATACAATGAATTCACAAACTTGGTATACGCCATTTGAGATACCCCAAGATTTATGCCGGATCCAACTCACTACAGCTGTTTAAATGTTCAATGAATCTTATTTGAAGGTGACAAGGGATATATTTGTGTGGCAAATTTATCTAAAGGGTATGTTTTGCTGAGATGTTATAGCAACCTCTCTTGGTGACATTGGTCGTTGTCACCAAAGATAAATGGTTGACAGTATTTCGTGACAAGTTTGTCCCTGTCCTATGTATCAATTGGTATTAATAGAAATGCGTGTTGCATACTTCAAATAACATTAAATCGTACCTAAATTTCATACAAGAAATAAATAACAATCGCCTTTGGATTTACCAAATATATTTGGTAAGTAAAACAATTTTAGTCAACCTAAAAATAGCATGTATATTAATTATTATTAGATCGATTTTAAATCAATATTCCATTTGTTTTAATTTATGCTAGATACACGTCAATGTTAACAATAACAAATAATATAAACAGCAATTATAAATATGAAAATAACAAACACTGTCGGACCGTAAATAACATAATGAGAAACTCAAGACCTCCCACGTTGTTAACAGATAAGATTGAATAGTGCATCACACTTTATACACGCCTGATAATAGACAACTAAAACTAATAGTCACTATCTCATTAAAAAATACCTGGCGAACTCTTTTAATCGACACGAAAGCCAATGTAATGAAATCGGAATGGCAAAATATTATCAATATTTTGATATTTTATTTATGAGTAACTTATTTTGTTTATAAATTGAGAGGATAAATTTAAAAATAAGCAATATTAATTTAACTCACGTTTTTGTCCAAAAGAAATGGTAAAGTGAATAAACTTTAAAACAGAAACGAATTAAGAACGATATTCCGTCTTCATAATATCCTTTTGACAGCTCATTAAACCATAGCAGTTAATTTAAGTCCATGAATAGAGGCACCTAAAACTATTATTACTGTTCGTTAATATAATTTGTCACGGTCGGAGATTATTACAATCATTCGATATTCTCCTGAGAAAGTTTCAAATCAATGCCATAAGTTCCTATGGACTGTGGTGACCCTTTTGAATGGACCCACCCGTTGATAATATTTGATGGATGACTGTGCTGTTGACCTTCGGCTACCAGTATAATTGTTGTAAAGGCTATCTACACAAGAAACTTGTAATGTCTTAATTATTACAGATCGACTTTCAATGGTAGTTGAAGTATTTTAAACATATGTAGTATATCCATAGTAATAAAGCGTATGTATATGGAATGATAATAATAGATTTTTCGTATTATAAAAAGAATGAAAAAAATTATATACAAATAAAAGTATAGTAATTAAATATAAATATACATGTTAATGTGGTTGTTTGTATTATTTTTTTTTTATTTTATAAGTACCTATATTTGAGTTAAATAAAAAATAAAGTTATGTATATTTTTTTATTGATTTCTCAACATACTATTGATAAATATATTAAAATAAATTGCTTCCTATAATGTTTGTGGTAAGCCTAAATGATTCAGATGTTGCAAGTGACCGTAGTTTTATAGCGTTATTTCCGATGGTAATGAAGAAGTCATTATTTACCGTTTATCTCTTACCATTCACTTCTTATGAACTTTCAATCTCCATTACCCAGGCTATTATAGGCCCTTACGGCTAGGGGCCATTTAATCGTGTATGTGATCGTCAATATTAAATTCGAATGCTATCTCTAATTACCTATTAATTTTAAATCTTTTCCTAACTGTTTATTATTATTGCAAAAAGCAATAATGTGAGACTAATCATTACCTAGTAATTATTATGATTATAAACCTCAAAACATGTAAAATAAAAGGAAAAGAGTTTGAAAGACAATACTACGAATCTGAAGGAATAAAACAATTATGACGTCTGATGAATAAGAATGCGGTGGAAATTATCTTGCTCTGTCTACAGTTCGATTGTTTAACAATAATACTTTTTAAATGTTTTTATAATAATATCATAACTATATAAATGTTTCGCAATATATAAGTACGTTTTGTTTATTGTAGAACTAACCCTGCGAAGTAATAAATCCAAAAGTATTAAAAAGTTTTGTCAAATCTTATAAAACTTCGTAACAGCATCGAGACGTATGTGAAATATTTCTTGCAAGGTTGACTTATGAATCACACGAGACCGCACAAGTGTGTTTTGTGATCTTATCCCGATTTCGGCGCTATTTTCATACTTTCATTTCCGCTATGAAAATAGCGTCTAGCACGAAAATGACATTTGATTTAGTAGTGTCTGGTCGGACTAGTTTCTGAGCACGTACTTCGAAATTCTTATAATTCTGTTTTGGTTCAAATCTTTCAGAAGATAAACCGCACAGTAACTGATTCATTAATTGACTGATGATAGATATTTGTAAGTACTTTTTCTGCGTACTGCAAATGCTCTTCTTGTTGATGTTCAAATGAGCCGATGAAAACATAATTAGATCAGTTATATATAACATATTTTATATATTTATTTTATTTGAAGCAACCTAATGAAAATAGACTTATTAAGAAATGTACTAAAACTGTAACCGAAAGTAAATAATATATTTTTTATCTTAACTTGAATAAAATAAACGATTACAAAACTACAAAGATTGTAAGTAGATGCAATACTCGCCTCAACACATTATTTAAATACACTTGAGAGAGTATTACGATCGGATTTATTTGCAGCAACAGGCACGAACACATACATAAACTATGATCAAAACGACGTTTCTGTTATAGAATCGATGATAAACTACGATAAATCGAATCTCATTTGTATGTTTAACATATATTCTTCTATTAACAAACAATGTAGGTTGAACGTGGGACGATTTTGTTGAATTTATTCGATTGACATCAATTACTATCACTGATTGCATTTGAATACATGGGGGCGTGCTAGCTCATTGGGTTATGTGATAGCGTCATTTGTTACAATAAAATAACAATTTGTATTTTTTGTGATGATATCTTACGGTCTGTTAAATGTTATATTATACCATACTAAAAGTTTAAGTTTCTAAAAATTACGATTTAAATTTCTAATTTTATTTATCAACTTAGTATGACTAAAAAGTAATGCTATTTTAAAACTAATTATAGAGTTCAAAGAATTAATGAAGAAATATTTAAGAGCTTAAAACAACATTCTACGTTGCACTTACGTCTGATACATTAGCAGCAAATATCCTTCGCCGGCAAGTGGAAGAGAGCAAATCCTGGTATCTGAAATAAATATAATAATAATAATAAAATAAAATAAAAATAAACTTTATTAACTAAAAGGTTACAAATGAAACAACAAGTTGCGAGGGCCCCTGTACTAGGTACAAAACCCGTGTTACTGGGTGCCCCGCTCATCCACCAAGACAAAGTAGAACGTCAACAATGACTTGTAATAGACATTTATAGTACTATCCATATAAAGCATGGTTTACATTGTAAAGTAAGTAGAAAAAAAGTGTGTGTGTGTGTGTGTGCGTGTGTGTGTGCTTGTGTGTGTGTATGTATGCGTGTCTGTGTGTGTGCGTGCGTGTGTGCGTTTACCATCATATTAATCTTATTATAATTGTGAAAAGTTAAATTTAATTATGAATTTTTCAGTTTCAGCATAGTTACCCGTGAGCAATGTCTCCGTTAGAACACGTTTCACATTCGATTTCGTGAGTCTGTAGATGTTAAGTCTTCTGTTTAGTTTATTATAAAGATAGGACGATTGATAATTGTATTGTATTTTCTTAAATTTGGTTTCACTAATTGGGATAGGACAAACGGATTTACGCCTACGGTTTTGGATTTGAGAGGGAACAAAAGGTAAATGATGATGAATTTTAAGTATACAATTTAATATATATATTTGACGAGTAGTCAGTAATTTGTACTGATTGTGTAAATCAAAAGTTGGAAAAAGGTACGGTTTGAAAAACATTACTTTTATGAGAGACCTCTGCGCTCTTTCTAAAATTATTAAATGAGTTTTAGCCGCACCTCCCCAAACAGGGATACAGTAGCTCAATATAGATTGGGCTAGTGCTTTGTAGGTGGTAACAAGAGTAGCCTCACTCGCAACGTGCCTAAGTTTTTTGAAAACCCAAGTAATTTTTCTTATCTTGTCAACGATGCTCTCAATATGAGGTCTCCAGGTAAGATGCTGGTCAATAATTACTCCAAGGTATTTAACCTTATCTGTTTTCGATAAGTCATTACAGAAGCAAGTGTTTATATCAGGATAATTACAGTTATGAACTTTCAGATTAAAGTGGGAGTCAGGTTGTGTAGGTTTGCGGATTGAAAACGTTACATATTTTGTTTTATTTATATTTAATGTTAAAAGATTAGTCTTTAACCAGCAATAAATTCGATGAATTCCCGACTCAGCTGAACTGAAATCAAATAGGAGTGTCTGAAAGCTTGAGATAGATGGAGTAAGTTTCGACTTGGAGTAGAAAAAGTGTAGATTAATATTTTCAATAACCTTTAAAGAAATATAATTTTACAGTTTTGTTAATTTGGAAGCCATGATTTAACAAATATGTACATACATACATAATCGACTAATCGTATGAATCCTGAAATGTTTCCAAATAGGTACACAGAATATTTTTACTTTGAGTGTTCTAACTGTAACATTGTAACGCTTCCGTAATTCTCAAAATCCCTTATGACAAACGGCCATGTACAATATATGTATACATATAGTCAATGCCCACACCACTTATGTTAAACTAGCTTTTGCCGCGACTCCGTCCGCGTGGAGTAGTGACTTCCGGCAGATTTTTGGTTCTTCCCACATAGTTCCCGTTCTTGCGGGGTTTTCGGAATGGTCGAGTTCCCGTAGAGTTTTCAGGATAAAACCTATGTTTTTTTAATTCACAATGAAGTACTCTTAATCAACAACATATTTATTTGTTTATTTGAATAAAGATTTTATAAAATTATTTCGACCAAATGAGGTGCCATAAATTAGCGCTTTCAAACAAACAAACAAACAAACAAACTCTTCAGCTTTATAATATTAGTATAGATTCATCAAAGACTGCAAACGTTGAACAAACTTCGTATCTATATTATTCACACTACAATGCGGTTTATTCGTATTTTCTTTTTTTCATACCACACTCTATATATTTTAAAAACATTATCTAATTAATAAATCCTTTACGCGCAAAAATCACTAATTTATTTTATTTTTGTAGCTTTAATATGCCCAATATCATTCATAGGACAAGGATGAATTTATTGACACCAGTAACACTTAATACTAATTGTTCCAAAAAACAGTCCTAGCCAAGGACATGACAACATTTTTTTTATATTATAATAATTAAAGGAACGTAATTATTTATTTAAACAAAATAATTTTGAAGTCAATAAAAACTAACGGAATATTTGTCAAATGTTGTAGTTTGGAAAAGTTGCTAGCAATTGGTCTTTTTATAAGAAATATAAATAAAATTATAAACAGAACTAAATTACGATTATGTTCATATAGGTTAAAATTAGTCTTAATATCTTATTAAGAAGCCTAACTAAAATTAACGATAATAATCATTTCGGAGCAACCATCACATTATTTGTTTCGACTTATTTCGTAACATTATTAACTATATTGTCTTGTTGTATTCATTCAGTAATTCCATTGTTTGATAAATTTCATTACTAGTAATAAAATAAAGGAAAATGAAAAGAGAGAACAACGTTTTCGCTCTAGAAAATAAACAGACTGCCTTTTGAAATATGATGTTGTTTTAAAACTAAGCCGACGTGGATTCTCGCCGTGAATTGAATCTATTCAATAGTTTTTCATAACTCCATGCAGATTATTACTATTTATTATCATAAGCTTGTATGGGGAAATACAGCAAGGAACAACGTATTAAAATTCTAGTTCTACTTTCCATAGAAAATTTATTACTGAATTTTCTATCGCTATAACAACAAACAGTGATGTCAGGAAACTTATAATATGTTAAGATAAGGAGACCTTTCAATGATTAAAGTTTGATTTTAAAAAATCTTGGTTTCAAAAGCTTAAACTAATGTCTTCAACATAATCTAGATTAGTTAAAGATGAGCATTAAATCTAAAGCCTAACTTTGCCGTCTAAACCAAACTCATCGAAATATCAGCCTAGTTTATACTGACATTCACAAAGGAGATGGAAACTGGTGGGCCCAAAATGTAATGAGTTCAAAATTGATTTAAAACATTCGTTTATTTTTTTTTTTGTACGAAATACCAAAAATCTAAATAAATTCTCAATATACAAGCGGAGAAATATGCAAATAACTGTTTTTATGAAGTAATCGATTAACGATTAATTAAATAAAAAATTCACTCCTAGTTTTAAACTTATAGTAACTTCATTTAAACTTCACCATATATGTCTACAATTCAATAAAAATAACTTTTAATAACGTGTATTAATATTGTAATAATATTAAATATTATTTAAAAAAATCCTTTTCGATTATCGATTCCATTCGATTTGATTCGATCGAAATCGTTCAGTATATGTATAGTCTATGGCAACATGACATTGACGCTTAACATTTACCATATCAGATGCATTGTTATCTGAGTCTCACTTGTTTCGTGTTTTTTGATATGTTTCGAGTGCTTTCCCGATCGTTTTACGTTTTCAACGACCACTGCTTTGTTTTTTACGGACTCCGAACCCGCCTACGTTTTACGACCTTTGCTTTCACATTTGACACCGACGATCGCCTGCTTGTTTGACTTGGAATTGTTAGTGGTACCTTAGCTGGGCAAGGTACCACAATATTGTACCCTCTGCACAGTTCCTAGACGATATTTTAATTATTATTGAAGAGGAATATAATATTCTATTAAAATTATTTCTTTTATTTTATGACTTTTATCACATAGTTCACTCCTCCAGTTCCTCGTAGAATTCCATACTTGTTACCTATATCTGTATGTCTTTGAGTCTTTATTGCCTTGTTATGACTTATCAGATATTCTCTTCTAAATAAAATTATTATTTTTCACATACTTTTACGTGTATTCATCTAACTCTTAAAGATAATGCAATATAACCTCACTTTAATAAGCCTCCAATAACTCAGCTATCTGATTGTCAATTTCTATAGAATTTTCAATGAAGAAACTCTTAATTTTAAACCTTTAATTGATACTTTTTTCATGTCTTTACATTTAGAGCCCAGAATTGTATGAAAAAATTTCGATCTCATTTATAATATTTAAGTTAACCAAATGTAATCAAAATAATAGTTATATATTTGGGAAACCGAATACATTGGCGTGCACAGAGATTTGGGGTAAGACGAGCAGAATATGTTTGAAAAATAAAATACCAATTTTCATAATTTTGTCATCTAAAACATTGATAACAATGGGTAAAATTTTAAATTAAATTAATATTTTAATTATTTTTAACGGGCAGACGAGATCTGCCGTGATC